TTCAATAATCTTTATGCCTTTTTATCAAAATGATTAAGGCTTACATGATACGAAGTCTTCTCATGGCTGATTCGCGGTAATATCCACCTTAGCTGGATAACTCAGACGCTCTAGACTTCTAATGAGGACTGCTATGAATTAATTAGAAAATTTTCATTTTTTCCAGAATTAGTACTCCAAACGGCTCTTACTTGATTCAGCGGTGTTAGCAAGTTTTCAGCGCACGGATTGATTTGTTGTAGTAACAAGTCTGCTTCCCGCCGCTTGCACCGGTTGATCGGTTGCTTAATTTATACTGCGAAGAGAACTACTACATACGTGTAATTTTCTTACCGAATGTGCGCTGCAGTATATTCAGATTTTGACCCTTTTTCAAAATGGATGACACTTAAATAGAAGAATTTTCTGACTCAATACATAAGAACACAAGTTGATGCGAAAAACTATTTTTATTAATCATTATGGTCATTGGTTGACTCAACGAATTCCTATGTCTGAAAGTTTTGTCCATTAAGGAGGGCTTACAACTAACGTGATGTTTACCCCCGTTTAACTGGGCTATCTATCGCTCTTTTGAAGTTGGTCATCCCTGAATCCACGTACATTATAAAACACCGAAATAACTCTTATAAAACGTATTTTCCTTATTCCTCAGGTAACTTTGTAACATAGGCTAATATCCAAACCCATAAATTTGATGCTTCCAAAAATTCCTGTATCTTATTCTTTAATAACAAGTCACATCAATCAAGCCATCATATGCTTATGTGTTTTTCTGTAATCTGATCGCAGACGCTCATCAGTTATGATTTCATACTGTCGACATTCAAATTTTGTAGAGTTACACCATAAACTTCCCTTCATCGTATGATATCATTAGAAAATTTGATTTAGCATACATTTTCATTGTACCTGCGCGTTTTAAGTTGCTTTTCTGTTCTTACTGGCTGCGGTTTCAGGGCAAGAAAGCGGTATTCTTGTAAAAGCGGCTTTCCTTATAATCGTCTGCTTAATACGGTATCGATCTTGCGATTTCTTACGGTATTCATATAAGGCAGAACATATTCAGTAGTGGCAGTCATCCGCTGCATAGTGAACTGTCACAGTACTTGTCACAAATCTCACCAGTTGAATCCGGCTTGCATCACTATGTGTGTCAAAAAGGGACTAAGTTAAAGAGTTGCTTTTACAGAGTGTCGAGGAGTTATATTTGCTGCTTCAACGCGCATTTTAAAGGTGCGATTTAGGTTAAGCAGCACGTTACTACTTGAACTCTTTCAATGTTACTTACTTCTCAGGTTTGCCCCTATTCATATATTCTTAGCTCTTCTCTACTCAGTCAGATAGGGTTTCAGTTGTTTACCTCTTCTTCTTATAAACTGTATACGTCCACCTGTGATTTTGCGTTCTGCCGTAAGTGAGTTTCTTTCGATTATCAATTCTTGTTTTGTTTCGCTATAAGTGTACTTATTTGACAGTCTCATTCAAGCAATAAGACTTCATTCTTTCGTCTGAATCACTAATAGCTGCAATGATTATGACAGTTCTCATCGATGATGTGTTAAAAATGGGTGATTCTATCCAAGCAGTAAAATAGTTATTGTAATTAACATTACACTGAGATAGGTGTAAGCCGCGATCAGCGATGCTAATTCGTAATTGTTTAATACAACGATTAATTGGGGTTTTTTGGACGAATGCAGTCTGTTGACTGGGGCAGAAGATAATATTAGTTGATTGTATTAATTTTATTCCAATTAAAACTAAGTAAACATATTTTATGCAGAATCATCCTCCAGAGTTTACATTGTGCCAAGCGAAAGATAGCAGCCGTGAAAAGTAACATGCCTTGCTTTTTCTTCGCGTGATTTTAGTCAGGCTGAGACATACACTTTTTACTTAACTGTTGCTTCTTTCAGCAGTGGCGATCTTGCAAATCTAAGGTTCACTGCTGTTGATGGGAATTCCTGTCTCTAGCTTGATGAATCCCTCGTTAATATTGACATAGTATGTATATGACGAAGTCATAAAATGGGGACTTTTTGCACTAAGTTATGCAACATATTTATTATTTGACTAATATGTTCGAATCAGCCTCACCGCTTGCATGTAAGGCCTTTCATGGCACTGTCGTTAT